GAGAAGGCCCTGCCACTTCTGGTTCCTTTATTGTTGGAAACTTTGCTGAAGCAGGAAGAGGATCAGGACCAGGATGATAGCATCTGGAATATATCCATGGCTGGTGGGACATGTCTAGGTCTCGTTGCACGAACTGTTGGGGATGCTACTCTACCCCTTGTAATGCCATTTGTGGAATGTAACATTTCAAAGCCAGATTGGCGTTGTCGAGAGGCTGCCACATTTGCATTTGGCTCCATCCTTGAAGGTCCAACTGTTGAGAAGCTCTCCCCATTGGTACAGGCAGGTTTGGAATTTCTGCTTAACGCAATGAAGGATGAAAACAATCATGTTAAGGATACAACTGCCTGGACTCTTTGTCGTATTTTTGAGTTACTGCATAGTCCAACTAGTGGGTTTTCTCTGATTTCTCCTGAGAACCTCAAACGGGTACTAGGTGTGTTGCTGGAGAGCATGAAGGATGCTCCTAATGTAGCTGAGAAAGTTTGTGGGGCTGTTTACTACCTTGCACAGGGATATGAGGATGCTGGAGCAAGCTCCTCTCTCCTCATGCCGTATCTTACAGACATAATGAGTTCTCTTATCGCAACTGCAGATCGTACAGATGGTGGTGACTCTAAACTTAGATCTTCTGCATATGAAACTTTAAATGAAGTTGTAAGGTGTTCCAATGTTATGGAAACATCTCATATTATAGCACAGTTGCTACCGGTCATTATGAATAAGTTGGGTCAGACTGTTGAGCTTCAGATTGTATCATCAGATGACAGGGAAAAGCAAGCTGACTTGCAGGCTTCTCTGTGTGGTGTTCTCCAGGTTATTATCCAAAAACTTAGCAGTAAAGATGAAACCAAACCCATAATTCATCAGGCTGCGGATCAGGTTATGGTTCTGTTCCTTAAGGTATTTGCTTGTCGCAGCTCTACTGTGCATGAGGAAGCAATGCTTGCAATTGGTGCCTTGGCTTATGCTGCTGGACCTCAGTTTGAGAAATACATGTCTGAGTTCTATAAGTACCTTGAGATGGGGTTGCAGAATTTTGAGGAATACCAGGTTTGTTCCATCACGGTTGGAGTTGTCGGTGATATTTGCCGTGCCTTGGATGATAAGGTCTTGCCATACTGTGATGGGATCATGAATCTTCTTCTTAGGGATCTTGCCAGTTCTGAACTCCACCGCTCTGTAAAGCCCCCCATATTCTCTTGCTTTGGGGACATTGCTCTTGCAATTGGAGAACACTTTGAGAAGTATGTTCCCTATGCATTACCTATGATGCAGGGAGCTGCTGAGATATGTGCTCAGATGGACACTGCTGATGATGAGATGATGGAATATGGAAACCAGCTGAGGCGTAGTATTTTTGAGGCTTATTCTGGGCTTCTTCAAGGTTTCAAGAATGTGAAGCCTGATGTGATGGTGCCATATGCACAACATCTCTTGAAGTTTATCGAACTGGTCTCCAGAGACAGGCAAAGGTATTTTCTTTTTCTTTTTCCTTTACCTTTCCCCTTTCAATAATTCTGTCTTGTCTCTTGGTTCTTTCCCATGTAATTCTCTTGCATGTATGTAATGCAGGGATGAAAGTGTTACAAAAGCTGCAATTGCTGTGATGGGTGATCTTGCAGATGCGCTTGGTTCCAATACGAAGCTTTTGTTTAAAGACTGTTCATTTTATGCTGATTTCCTTGGTGAATGTCTCCAATCTGATGATGAACAGCTCAAGGAGACTGCCAGTTGGACCCAAGGTATGATTGGACGCGTTATGGTTTCATGAGGTAAAGAGTCCTCTGTTGGGTAAAGTTGTCACCTTTGTTACTCTTTTTTCATCTTCTAATTAATGTATTCTCCTTCTAGTTTCTCAGTAAATTATCTAGGGTGTCAAGAAACTAAAACTGGGGGTTTGGTCTTGTATGTATTGCTGGTATGGTTACTGAATTATTTGGGATTTTCTTGATCCACTCACCATTTTTCATGGGATGTAGAGCCTTGTTAAGTTCCACAATCTGTGGCCACTAAGTGGATGTGGCAGCAATTTGTCAAACCCTGTCTATCTTAAAATGCTTTCCACCAATCGGTGGTTATAGTTGAGTCAATTTTTATGCATTTGCAAATTCCATTACATTGCTGCACTATCATGTCCATGATTCTTTTCTTTTTTTCTTTGATATATTATCTGCGATTCATTTGCCAAAGCCGAATTTTTTATAGTAATTCAAGTAGAATTTGAAATTTCTTGTAAGGTTCTTGTTCTAGTGACATCGTATCTTGGCCAATAGAAAGTTAAACATTTCAGAATTTTTGCTGACCCAACATCAACACTCAGTATGAAACTCAGAAGTTTTTGAGGCAACCTTTGTAGGATGAAAAAGGTAGCTACTCCAATTGCCAAAAGTCTTATACAATTATTGATAATTTGAACGAGCAGTGCAGATCAATTTGGGTTTAATGAAATTAGATCAGTCGTCATGCTTCATTCATTTACAATAACCTCGTTATGGGCTTTGATAACTTTTGTTTTTCCTTCTAGAACGCAACTTGATATCTCTTTGAAATCAAAGAAATTAGGGCAGCAGAACTCGTTTATATATAGAGTTGAAATCTTGGCCTGTTTTGTACGGTGTTTGTTCTGTGTCCATCAACAGCAATTAATTGCGCACCGGCGGATTCAATACTATGATATACCGTTTTGCTTCATCTATTTGATTGTCGTTTTCAACGGTGTACGTTAACAGATAATGAAAGGACCTTAATTTTCTATTCTTACCTACTCAACTATTTGGCTTCACACCATCACAATCCTAGCCGCTTGCCGCCCCCTCCCTCTCTCTCTCTCTTGCCCTGATTTTCTACAGTTGCTCTTATTTTCTTCTCTTCTTTAGCCGTTATTGCTTCTTTTCTCCTCAGCAGTTAGGGTGGATGGTCAAAAGTGGGAGTTCTCTCATTTCTTGTAGAGATTTCTTTTTCTCTTTTGAGGGTTTTTGCTTAAACTTTCCCAATGGATCGGATTGAGATTTGCTCTTATCCAATGAGGATAACAACTTAAATATGACATTAATTGAAGTTAGATAAATTATCATATTTATTTCAATCGTTGAAGGTATGGTTAGAGATAGAGTCTTTAATTATATTTTTTTACCTTAATTAATTTATCTTCTATTTGGTTATATTGGAATATGACTTAATTGATAAATCTCAAATTCGAGTTTGGTTGTGATATACATGTATGAATTTGATTATTTGATTATATGTTTTCACATATTTTATAAATGTAATACATTTTATTTATTATTTCATTCGAGTTGGTTTTATAATTTTTATGATTTTTGTATATCAATAATATTATATTTCTTATTAAAAAAAAAAAAAAAACTATTCGGCCCTACCCAATGTTATTAAGAAATTCAACATAACAAAGATTACTTAATTTAGGTAGTTACTAATTATTAGAGGAATTGTTTTAAGCCTCTATGTTACCTCAATCGTATTTCTGAATTATGCTCTATTTCCCTTGTTCTTCGTATTTGTGAATTGTGTGAGTGTTGTTGAATAAAACAAAGCTCTATTTTAGTCTTTTTAAAATATCTCAATAATTAAAAATTACATTTAACTTAATAATAAGTTTGAAAATATAATAATGTTTTTAAAAAGTTTTGGTGAAACAAGCAAAAAATACATTATAATATATCAAACTTAAATTAAAAAGTTTAATATCCCGGTTGAATTCAACCTATACAAAGAGAAGTTGAATCAAGTTAAGGAAAATTACAAATAAGGGAATAGAAGAAGTTTTGAAGTTGATATTAATTAATTATCTGGCAGTTTCTAGAGAACTAAGAGAGAAACAACTAAAGGAAGAAGATCGACATGGTGTTCTTTTGATTGTATCAGACGAAATTCCTTCCAAGAATCTTGAGTACACTTCCTCCCGAGAATCATATGAACCCCAGCTCTGAATCGAAGGAGAAGGAAGCCGATCATCTCCGTTCAGGTACCGCAAAACCTGTCTCATCCGTGGCCTAAACTCCGGTTTCTGATGTGTACAGAGAAGACCCAGTTGTAGAACCAAATTCACCTCATCAAATGCATAATCTGACCCCAATTTAGGATCCACCGTATCAACAATCGCACCCATTTGCTGGTACTCTATCACCCAATCAACCAACAAGAAGTTGCTTGAACGGTCTGTCGGCTTTCTTCCTGTAGCCACTTCAAGGAGTAAAACCCCATAAGCGAAAACGTCCGAGCTGGTAGAGGCCCTCCCGTTTCGAGCCAATTCCGGTGCAATATACCCAATTGTACCAACTACTTGGGTAGTGTGAGACATTGTACCGTGATCATACAACCTTGCAAGACCGAAGTCACCCAACCTGCATGTACAAATTTAAAGTCTTCATATTGTGGAGACATATATAACAGATATAAGAATTGTTTTCTAATATGAACGAATGGAACCAACCTGGCGTTCAAATCAGCATCTATTAGGACATTGCTGGACTTAACGTCTCTGTGGATCACTACTTTCTCCCATTCTTCATGTAAATACAGAAGTCCGGAAGCAATGCCTTTGATGATGATGAATCTCTGTTCCCAGCTCAGAACGAAACCATTTCTGGGTTCGAATAGGAGTGAGTAAAGGCTTCCATACGGAATGTAATCATAGATCAAAAGAAGATCATTCTTCTTCTTACACCATCCCTGGAGATTGACTAAATTCTTCTGCCTTAACCTTCCCAAGCTTTCAATCTCGGCCGCAAATTCCCTCATCCCTTGGATTGAATTCCGAGTGATCCTTTTAACGGCGACCTCAGCTCCGGTTGTGGGTAATACCCCTCTGAAGACGGTGCCGAATCCACCAATTCCGATTCTCTCACTGTCTTTGAACCCCTTAGTTGCTGTATAAAGATCCCTGTACTGAAACCTGTGAGGACAGTCCAATTCCCAATCTTCAAGATCCTCATGAAACTTCACCGTCCGTTTACAACATGTAAAGAATATTAACATTCCAAATAATATGACAATCACAACCGCTAAGGCTGCTGTTAAAGCAATGATTTTGGGATCAGTAACAGGAGAGTTTTTCTCTATCGGCGGAAGTGGAGGCAGTTGGTCCGTATCAAGGGGCACAGCGGTACCGTTTGTGGAAAAACTCCATCCTAAGATGTAATGAGAGCTCGTCCTCTTCTGCCCTGTGGAGGCAGAGAAGCCGACGTACATGGTTTCCTTCACGACGGATGTTAGGTCGATGTCAAAGGAAATGAGGGGTATGTTTGGTTTCGTTATATTTATAGGGAAAATTGTAACATTCACTTTCTTTTGAACACCGTCGTATTCTATCCAGGCCTGGATGGGATCGCCGCTGTCCAAATCCATCTCTTTCTTAATTCCTCTGTCAGTGGAGTAATACGAAGCCGGTTCTAATTCCTTTGATAACACGCCATTGATGCCAATTGCAACATGGTTTGCTTCTTCTTCGGATTTCTGGTCGAATCCTTTTACAGTATCAAATTCGACTAAAAAGACATGGTTGTAGGGTTTACCTTCATTAGATGAGTTGTAGATTCCCATGTATTGACCGGTTTCAGCTCCGGAGAAGTCTGGAGAAGGGGATAAGGTGAAGGCCAGGCCGTAGCCGCCTTCACCAGAGCTGGGGGTTACTATTGCAAAAACAAAATTTGTGCTGAAAGAAGAGGCATTTGAAGAATTTTGTTGTAGCATTTGTATTGGTTTTGAATAGAATACATGGCCTTGGGTATTTGTTGTTTGGTTAGTGAGTCTAAGTGCACCAGTAGGCTTCAAAATGGTAGCTCCATTCAAGGTAAGACTTGTTTCACTTTCGTTGAAGCCATTGAAGGTGAAATTTAGGTTTTGAGGATGAGTGAAACTAGGGAAGAAGAAGAAGAGAAAAAGCAAAGCGAAGGGAGTTTTTTTGGCCATTCCTTTGTGATAAGACTTGAGAGTGCAAAAAAGATAATTTTTCTGTAAAGGCCCTGGATAATATAGCAGTGTTGCAGTCTATAGCATAGAAAATGAAGAAAAAAGAAAAAGGAAAAGTAGTACAAAACAAAACATAGCCCGGACCAAAAGGAAGACTTGAAAGTTTCAAAGTCAAATCAGCCTTAATGCATTGGGCGCGGTGTTATTGAAACTACAGTCATGATTGGTTCATTTCGTCCCGTGCCGGGGTTTTTCCTCTCTTCTTCTCTTTTTCCTCTTTTTTTGGAACTGAAAAATGACTTTGGTAACAATGGGTTTTTTTTTTTTTTTTTTTTTGAACATGACTTTGGTACCTATGGTTAAAGGTTCGAAGAGCTGATAATTTGAATTTTGAGATAGGTAAGGGAGATTTGAGAAGATGAGTATTATTTTTTATAGTATAATTTATTTAGTTATTAATTTTTTTTATTTTTGAAATTTTTTTATCATAATTTAAATAATAAAAATAATTTTTTAAAATTTTTTTATTTTTATTAAAAAAATTATTATTAAATTATTTAAATTATTAATTTTTTTAAAACTTTGTTTCTAATGCAATATAAACCTTTTTAGAATTTATAATAATTTTTTTCTTAATTCCTTAAGAATTTAATTGTAATTTAATAAGGTGAGAACAAGTCAGGTATTATTCAAATTTGACCAAATATCACTCAATAGTCAATACGCTTTAGTTTTCAATTTGAGTGGTGGAATAACATGATTCACAGCCGCGTAGAGACAAGGGCTTCTGACTTGTTCTTTTTTTATTTTTTTCCTTTTTGTCTTTTTCTCATATGAATATACGAAAGTTTGGCAATTATAATTTATCATGAAAATCGTTGGAGAATATATTATAGGCTAAAGTATGTCTTTAGTCTTTGATTTTATTAAATTTAAAGTTTTAAATCCCTTATGAAATTTTTAGCTCCTAAACTTAAAAATTTTAAAATTTTAGCCTATAAACTTGAATTTGTTAGCTCTTTCTTAAAATAAAAATAATATACTTATAAGATTAGTTTTTAAATATTAAAAATGTAACAACTTAAAAATTAAAAAATTAACAAATAGACCTGGCAAACGGGCGGGTTGGGTCGGGTTAGGGTTGGGTCAATTCGGGTGACGGATTAGACGGATTGGGTTATAAACGGGTTACGGGTTGGAAACATCTAACCCTAACCCGACCCTAAC